TTTTTGCTGAAGCTTTGTGAAGAGGTGGTGAATTATTTTTTTTTCCTAATTTATAAGTCAAACAAAGAAAAGGAGAATCATTGTAGTGATTTTTTCCTATTCTGAAAGACTGTTATTAAGTTAGTGGAATAGCTTAAAATTTTACTTTAGAATTTGAGGAAATAAGATAGTTGCCATGTAATTCATATCCGCAAGCTCCTAAAACCGTTCATCTGACTACTTCACTCAGAATGATAACTAGAGTAATTTTGGATACAATTTTAAAAATTTGATTAAGATATAGTCTTGTTTCTAAATATTTATATATATTTTTATTGACTTTAGAGAGAGAGAAACATTGATGTGAAAGACAAACATCGATAAGTTGTCCCTGTACCCACCCCGACTGGGGATCAAACCCACAATGGGTATGTGCCTTGATCAGGAATCGAAGTGGCGTCTTTTCAGTGTATGGGAAGATACGCAGCCAACTGAGCCACACTGGCCAGGGTGGTTGAAATATAGTTTGAATCTAGTTGGTATATCACAGCAAAGTTCTAGAAGCAAATAGTACTAAAAAAGAAGTGTCACCTGCAGTCTGCTTCAGACCAACGTAGGTCAGGAATCATTAGTTCTCTATAACTGTTTTGATGAGGCACTTTTGTAGTTGGCTATAAAGACCTGTCGTCATTGTATTATTCTTATTATAATGTTTGCCCTTGGAAGTCTGACTTTATTTCAGTTTAGTTAAAATAATATTTATAATCATAGTTTTTAATTATTAAGAATTCAGTGTTTGCCCTGTCTGGTGTGGCTCAGTGGATAGAGTGTTTGCCCAGGCACTAAAGGGTCATGGCTTTAATTCCCGGTCAAGGGCACATAGTTGGGTTGCGAGTTTGAATCCCAGCTTTGATCGGGGCATGTGTGGGAGGCAACCAATCGATGTGTCTCTGTCACATCAATGTTGCTCTCTCTCTCTCTGTTATCTCTCTTTCTCTTTCTCTCCCCCCACTCCCTTCCAGTCACTAAAATTCAATGGAAAAAATACCCTCGGGTGAGAATTAACAAAAAGAAAAAATATAGAATTCAGTGTTTAAGAAATTATTATTATTATTATTATTTTTTTTTATCCTCACCCGAGGACATTTTTCCACCTTTTATTCAGATAGAGCAGGAGGGAGAGAGAGGAAGAGAGAGAGAGAAACATTGATGTGAAAGGGACACATCGAGTGGCCACCACCCGCACGACCCAACCAGGGCCGGGGACAAACTGCAGTTAAGGTACGTGCCCTTAGCGGGAACCGAACCCGGGTCTCTCCAGACCCGGGTCTCTCCAGACCCCAGGCCGACGCTCTAACCGCTGAGCCAAACTGGCCAGGGCAAGAAATTATTTTTAAGAATAATACTCTTTAGAAATGATGAGGAGGAAAAGGAGAAGGAGGGAGAGAATATGAATGAATGTGAGAATAAGTAGGTGTTTCAAAGGGGAAGACGCTTATTTAGAAAGATAACATATTTTTGAGCTAGAAAACTTTACTACAATACTTTGTTGTGGTAGAATAAATTGAAAAAAAAAAAAAAAGCAAGTTTACTGACTAATTTACATGTGAATACTAAGCTATAACTTATTTTCTCTGACTCCTCATCCTCTCCCCTCCACAAAAAACAACGAATGAGTGCTATTAGCATCTTTCTCATTTTCCAGGCTGCTAAGTGTGCATAGGCAAGTTTTGCCCTAACACATTGAATAGTAATATTTAGTTTTCATGAATTATAGAACATGAAATTTAGTTTCATGTTCTTATTTCAGATGAGCTCTTTCCTTTGTGTATTAAAGTACTACTTTTTACATTTTTAGAGATTTCAAGTACCCGGGTCAGGAAATAGTCTACTTCCTTTCAACTTGCTAACATCATTAAAGTTGCTCTTCCTTTATTTTCTTCCTTTATTTTCTTCTGATATTTTTTAATGAGTAAGAAAAACTATCTGTTTCAAATTCCTGCCATGGAGAAAAGACCATTAGAATGCATGATCAGAAAGAGCCTCTAGCAACCTTTTTGGAGTTAACTGGCTGTAAAACCAAGGCCTACCTACTTAATCTTTGTGAAAGCACCAGCGGTTTGTAGATGAAGATGAGTATCTTAGGGTGCAGGATCTTCAGCGAACCCACAGCAGTGTTTAGGTCTGCCAAAAAGGTTCTTGAATCAATTAAAAGTGTATGTAAATGTATGTATTTTTAAAGAATTTTATCTCTGAGGAGGCCATCTATAACTCATCTCATTCTCAGAGAGATCCATGAATGCATAGTCATCATGCCCTTTTGAAAAATTGTATACTTGAAACCTATATAATTTTTTTAACCAATGTTAAAAAATAAATAACTATATACTATCCTGGTATATAGTTAAGTTAATATTGAACTCCAAGAGTAAATAGCTCTGTGCCCACATTATACAGAAATAAAAATGATTTGATAAGAAAAACTGGTATCTTATAAAAATCTTGCATTGTTTTCAGAAAATTTTATGATCATGTATGTCAAATGCTAATATAAATACAATATTTTAAAGTCCTAAATAATTTTTTGAAACATTTCTTAAAAATAATACAAAAGTATCTTTTGTATTGAGGGCAATATTCTAGGTAAGTTGGTATGAGAGAGGTGCATGTGTATTATATGAATAGTATATATATGTTTAAAATTTATTTCACCTAGGTGTATGAGTTTCTCTTTACCATACAGTTCCTTCCTCCTCATTATTCCTGGATGTGTCTGTGACTGTACGTGTGTGTGTGTGCATGCTTGTGTATGTTTATGTTTTTTGGGAGGTTCGTAACTTTTACAGAGTTTCTGGCTGGAATGTTTGTAGATGTTTTCAAGTGGAATGATAAAAAGAGATTGTAAATTCTAATCTCTAGTAAATTAAAGAGATTAAATAACTTTTCTGTTTCTTTTCCGATCCTTTAGTTATTTTACATAGTTTAATAGCAATTGGTAAAGGCTGTACTTAGGGGGCTGTTAGGTAGATTTTGCTTAAGAAATAGCTAGTAGAAAGCATTTGTTTCATTTTCATTTATTACACCAGCTTCTGAAGTTTAACCAGTTTTTTTTCCTAACCTTTTACTAAAATATTCTATTACTAATCTTTTATATATTATATGACTAAACTTTTACTAAGAATGTTATATTACATTTGTGTGGAATTTCACAGATTACATTTGATAAACATAGTAACTTTAGTAATCCTCTGTGGTGATGGTCATTAGTACTGTTCTGATAATAAACATTCTAGGCCTAAGGTTTGCTATAGCGCTTATAGTAAGGGGAGAAACAATCTCCACAAATATATTCTTTTTCTGTCTTCTGGAGATAGAGTGGACTTGAATTAAGTCTTGAAAATATTTGGTTTAGGTTTAGGTTCTGCTTTGAAAATGTTCAAGCAATGTGGAAAGGTATAACAGAAAAGCAGACGCTACACTGCTACCTCTGGACACATTCTTGTCACCCAGACCCACTGTTAGATAAAACTACTACTTTTGTGTGTGGTATCCTTTCAGCTTTTATAAATATGTGTATATATGTATACTTATGCATGTATGTGGATATCTATATATGCATTTATATATAACCTTTTATGTATATTTTATACCAAATGACTTTAAACTACCCATGTTTTGTAAATTGCTTTTTTCCACAACATATCTTGGACATCTTAGAGGAGGATTTTTAAAAATAAATACATGGTATTGAATGCTAGAGATCTATCTGCTTATATTTTAAATATATCTTCATCTTTATTCTTTAGGATTCTAATATTTATTAAATTCTTATTTTAGAAACAATATAAAATGTTATAATATAATGAATTAGCAAAATGTACAAAATATGTACAGTATATTAGATATTAGTATTTTACCTAACTGACATGTGAAAGGCGTTTTCTTCTATTGAAATTTTAATAATATGTATTCATTAAAATAGAATAGAACTATACTAGCTAATTAGTACTTGTCAGATAACAGAGGATGTTAATAATGCTAAGTCAGGATTTATCCTTTTTAAAATACAATGGTGAGAAGACTGAGGTCACAATTTAAATTCTTCCTGGGTTTAAAATCCACAAATGATGATCATTTGGGAGGTCTAAGGAGTGTACAGTATTAAGGTTAAAGATTGTTGAAAATAAAGGCAAAACTTTTTTATTTTCCCTTTATTGATTTTAGAGAGAGGAAGGGAAAGGGAGAGAGATAGAAACATCATTGAGAAAGAACTATCAATTGACCACCTCCTGCATGCCCCTCACTGGGGATCGGGCCCACAACCTGGGCATGTGTCCTCACTGGGAATCTAACCGGGGACTTCTTGGTGCATGGGTAGATGCTCAACCACAGAGCCACACCAGCTGGACAAAGCAAAACTTTTTGTATAAAACAATGAATTTTCTGTTTTGATTTCTGCACCCTTGTTATTTTTTAATTCTTGCCCAAGGATGTGTTTATTGACGTATGTTCCTGTTCCTTGACTGGGGATTGAACCTGTGACCATTTGGTATACTGGAAGACGCTCCAACCAACTGAGCCACATTGACCAGTGCTGATTTCTGCACTTTTATTTGACACTTGCTTGTGCCCTTAAGGTATTTGAATACAACAAAAATCTTAAAAGATTAAGAAATAAATTTGAACAAAATTAAAAATTTTTGCTTTGCTGAATAATGATGCATTTTGGAATATACGTGTTCTAATTGAACCTCGCTCAATGAGTCTTTTTTTTTAGTTTTAGCTTTCATTTAAAGTAAGTTTTAGCATTTAATATGCATATGTAAAATACAAAGGAAGACTTTTCCAAAGTATTTTGGAAGTTTTAAAAAATATTTTATCACAAAACTGTCATAAATGGATTTCTTCTAATCCAGTTTTCTCATCCCTGGAAGATGTGGTTCTGAAAGAGGAAGTAGAATAGTGCCTGTGTTGGATTTTTGTGTTGATCTGTAACTTAATATGGCTGTATATGACCTTAGGCTATTCATTTATCCTCTCTGGACCCTTATTTTCTGAAAAATGAAGGCCCTTTTCAATTTCTACAATGTGAAGATGCTATGAAGTAAGTTTTGTAGTATGTATAGCTTATTTAAAATTTAATGAAAGTATTATCTTTATATATTTTTATTCATATATTTAGTAATACATTTAGTTATCTAAACATTTTGGAATGTTTTCTGTTTTCTACTATGCTAGATGTCAGAGACATCTTAACTGAATAAGATAGTTATGGACCTTGCTAATTATGGAACAGTGTTCATTGGAGAAGAGTGGAATAACTACTATGGAATTAATTTTTTTATCCAGATGTAATATGTAACTAAGAAGACTGAGTAGCAGAATGAGAAAAGTGGAAAGAATGAGCACAGGGGTACTGGGAGACTGGATCAGTCAGAAAGAACAGCATATTTAAAGGCCTAAACTGAGGATCCTGGAATACTAAAGAATTATGAGAAGGTGGAATTCCAGAGTGGGTCACCATATGTGGCTGGTGACATGGATGGGTATTAGATTATATAGTGATTTGTAGGCCATTGAAAGATTTTGTTTTTTGTGATATTACATATATTACTTACAATTATGTCCTTGATGTTACAGGATCCCCATAAATGCTAATACTCACGAAATAAATTTTTTATGTTAGAGAAACATTGTCAATCACTACACTGTTAGTGATGTCAGATCTCTCTACTCTTTTTCTCTTTAACAGTGTTTTAAAATATGATAATAAGGTTTGCAAGGTCAGTAATAGTAAAAATTACTTAATGCCTGTTAAAGTCAAATAAGTGTTTTTCTTTTTGGGTTATCAATTGTTTCATATTATCTGTGCCCTTTTTATGCTCACTAAAGGTATTGTTTTGAGGATTTTTAATATATTGTCTATTAAAATTTAGCAAATTAATACATTGGTCTTGTGATTCACATTTATGTTATTTACCTATTTGCTTTTTGTTTTCATTGGCTGATTGTATTTTTTATTAGGAGATATTAGCATGTAAAAAACATTTGTTAATGTGCAAATAAGTTGTCTGATTTTTTGCCTTTTAATTGTTGATTTTTCAAGAACACTTATTTATGTTAAAAGATCTGTGCTGATTTCATTCATTTTCTCTGAGATTGGTTTGCTGGAGAAATATTCCTGTTGGCTGAACAAGGGCTTACTCTTCCTAAGGCACTGTGACAGGGCAGTACAGACACAAAAGGGAAATGACCCATTTGCTGATATCTGAGTATCGTAAGTTAGCTCAGAGAGTTCAGTTAGACCAGATGTGTTTTCACGTTTTATAATATTCATGCACATATATTGATAAAGCCTTATCACTTTTAGTAGCATGGCGTCCTTCTCAGGCTGGTTTTCTAATACTTTTTTAGCAGATTGAGAAAACACCTACTTTAATATAGCAGAATATACTCTTAGCATTGAACTATATAATTGCCATTCTTGTTTGAACAGCTTCAGTGTGCTTTTCCCAGAAGCTTAGAACTTAGAATAATGCTTATTAAATCTAAGTTTCAACTGAATCTAATGAGTATTTATACTTATTTATACAAATACTTATTTTCTTTGTATGTGAGTTAATTTAAAAGCCATCATGAGACTTGTCAGTTCATGGGAACTGAATCCTAAGAACCATTTTTTTCTCTCTGTTGTTTAGATCTGTACTTCAGTTTTTACCAGTATTAATTAATTTATTAAACAGATATTTGTTGAGCACTGATGATGAACAGGGCAGACGCCTCTGCCAGTCACTTGTATGGGTTATACAAATGGGTAATACATTATTCTTAGTCCCAAGAGTTTTAAGGGCATTAAAAACAATAAGGAAAGTTTATAAATAACACATAAAGTAAAAAATATTAAAGTGCTGCATAAGAGAATTTAGAGGAAAAAAGAATTATTTTTCTGGGAGAGGGACAAAAATCTAAGCTAGACCTCACAAGGAAGAGCATTTATAGCCCAGACTTTAAAAGATAGATAGGGTCAGATGTTTACAAAAGAGACAATGCTATTATTAGTGGGGCCTCACAGAAAGCAGAGAGTATATGTGGAAAAGCGGTAGGTATATAAAAGAATCCGGTAGGCGTAGTATTGACTAGATGTATGCAGAGATAAAACAGGCAAGGTGCGTCAGGGTGAGATCACTGAGGGCTTCAGTGCACTTTATGTGTGTATATTCATATATAAGTTCATGTTTATAAATATAAATAAATGTAACAAAGTTTTCTTACGAATGCTGATGTTCAGCTTTTAGTGATTTATTCCTTTTTTTGAAATGTTTTCTCCATCATAAAAATATTCTAAAAAAGTTTAGATTACACAAAAACATAGAAAAATGTACATCTGTACCCCTACCACTTGCATTTAATGTATTTCTTTCCATATAAAATTTATGTTTAAGACATTTTTAAGTAAAATAAATGATAACATGAGCTAGGTTATATTTTATGCTTTTAAGAGGATTTAGAACTGATAAGCCAATGATTCCCTACTTCTATTTATCTTTGTGTGTTAGTTTGATTAAACTCTAAATCTCTGACTAAAATCATAATTTTTTCATTTAAATTAGAACATACTGAAATTGAAAGCATTGTCCAGCTGGTGTGGCTCAATGGATTGAGCCTCTTCCCATGGACTGAGAGGTCCCACTTTGATTTCCAGTCAGGGCACATGCCCCGGTAGTGGGTTTAATACCCAGTAGGGGGTGTGCAGGAGGCAGCCAATCGATGTTCTCTCTCATCGGTGTTTCTATCTCTTCCTCTCTAAAAAATCCTAAAAACCAATTTTTTTAAAAAGAAAGAAATTGAAAGCATTACATATTTTTCAGTTTGTAAAAGTAATTTATTCCAGAAGCAGTCTTACTGTTTATTTTTCTTTAAGATTGCTTTAAACATGGTAGAAATGTAGAGTGAGAAAAGGAACATTTTCTCCCCTTAACTAGGAAGAGTTATGGTTATTTAGCATTATCAGTAGAGACACAATTGTGTTGACATCACCTGAAGGAAAAGAAAATGCAGAAATTGGCAGAGCTAAAATATCTGAATAGTGCCAGAGATTTTAGAAAGGCGATATAAGTTCCTTCCATTGACTCACAGACTGTTTACGGAGGGCCTGCTGTGTGCCAAACCCTGTAAATACAAAGCAGACTCCTGTCTTCAAGCTTCTCACAGCCTAGTTAGTGGATCCAAATGGAGAATCCTGGGATTCGACCCCAGACCCTTGAATGTGCAAATCTAAAATTGTCTGTGCAGAAGACTCCCACTTGGTGGAGAATAAGATTATTGAAGGAAGCTGCCTAAAGCCTAGGAATTTTTATGTATAAAATCCTAGTGATAAAATTAGAGGAGTAAGATAAAGAGTGTGTGTGTGTGTGTGTGTACACACACATATATATATAATGCACCAAGACAGAACTTGTTGAGTGTGTATGTCTCAGTATTTGGAAAATAAGAAGATTTAACTATAGAATGAGATAGGCAGTAATAAATGCAAAATTTCTTACTGACTTTTTACTACTGTTAGAAGCCAGAAAAATCTCTATTCTTATTAGTTTATAAATGGAAATTTCTTATGTCCTATACCCTGAATTTATAGGCACATATATTAGCTTTGTAACACTGTGGAGTTTTTGTACTGAGACATCTTACTCAATGTAGTCTTTCAATTCTGAGATTATTTCATTTAAATTTCATTCATAATACTGTTGGATCATCTGTTTTACCTTCATTGTATTTATTTGTTCAAACTTATTGACATAAATTGAGATAAACATTGATTTTTAAAGGCCCACTAAATAAATAAAATTTTTCAAGTGAGTTAGTGTTTTCCTGGTCCATGAAGTGGGATGTTATACCATCTATGGCTACACTGTTGATACTCTTTTAGAGGTGGTGGTAGGCTCAATCTTATATTCAGAAAGCGTTAAACAAGTTAAGCTAACCAGTTTTCTATTTTATAACATGATTCCTGTTTTTTAAATAATAAAAATAAGGACTTACATGTCATTCATAATTACAGATATTTTGATAATGAAAACTTTTTTTAATGTAGGACACCATTGCAGTGGCAGGATTTATTGTTTTGTCTTCTTCTACAAGCAGAGATGGTGAACATTGCTTATTTTTGAAAGCATTTGAGGACTTCAAATCAACTGTTTATGTAAGTATAACTTTTAGTTCTACTCATGTTATAGTTTTAATGAGATAAGGTGATAGAATAGAAGTAGTGTTTCTGTAAATCTGCAGGTAAATTATTTAGTCTGATGGAATTATTTTAATATTTTGAGTTTTAAAAATAGAAACTTTTTCTTGGTTTTATTTTTAAATGACTCCAGGTAGAAAAGGAAAATCCCTTAAAGATAGTTATTTACCCATGAAAATTTAAAAACTCCACAGACACTTCAGACCTGATCTTATTCTTTGCAATTATACTGTCAGCCTCTTTTGATGATCTATTTGATTTCACTTTAAATTGACCAAGTGTACATTTTTAGGTAAAATTGATTTCCTCCTATTTTATTCTTTATGAAGGTGCTCATTCTCTGTTTTTTTCAGCTTTTCCCTCCTCCAGCCCCACCCTCCACTCCCAACATACATTTGGAGACCACCTACCTGTTTGAGGAAAGCTGTCAGGCAGTGTTGGATCAAGCTGTGTGCTTACAGACCAACATCTGCCTGCCTTTTTTAGTATGCACAAGGGCATTATTGGACTAAGGGTTATCTGTGATATTAAAATTAATGAATTAGATTGATACTTAGCTGAGACAATTTTGCACATGCCACTCTTAATTTGTAAGCCATAACTTCATGCCACTCTGATGAGTTTGAGTATTATATATAGTTAAGTATGTAGTTTTACTACAATTAAAGGTCTGTAATCACATTGGATGTCGTTTGCATACAAATAAGCCCTTTCTGGTTTTTTTTTTCAGGTTTATGTTAAATCTGTAATAGATTTTTCTACAGAATCAATGTCTTTGGTAAGATGATAATTTGTTTAATTTAGAATATGTACACATACCCCTACATATACACACATATAGTACACACATATATATATGTATATTTGATCCACTTTATAATCTTACTTTGCAGTAGTATCGATACAGTGGGAAAACAGAATATCTACTTTTTTGATAACTGATGTTACATTCCATTTATCTATTTACCTAGTAATTAATGTCTGGTTATTCCGTTGTCTGGAACATCTGATATTTTGTGTAAGCCACAGACATAAGAAAACTAAAATGGAAAAGTTTTATTGTATGAAGACATTGAGATTTCTACTACTTTTATACCTCAGGCAAATGTATTTCTGTCATTTTTATCAACTTGTATTTAAACACATTATTATGTGTTGAATTATGTAATTACAAGTAGTTTATTACACTTGTCACACATTTTGCTCTTCTTTATTTTTCATTATTTTATAAAATTTTGTTATGTCATAGCAATGGGAAGGTTCCCATTTTTACAGGTGAGCTACTTGTAGCTACGTGAAACTGGAAAGTAGCTAATGTATTGGTAAAGTTTAATACAAAATTAATGTTCTATGTTGTTTCTAATAGACAGAGTTCAGAGATTTTGTTTCTAGTTGACAGTGACTACTAGATACAGGTTTTAAATTCTGAATAATTCTATAATGATATAATTTGAATATGTCATTTAGGGAAAGTATAATTAAATACAGACTTTAAAAAAACCTCAAATATTAGTATTTCTCATAATTGTTATAAATAGGTCAGGTTCAAATATTTGATACATCCATGAACCCATAAATAAGGCATAAGTAAACAAAGGAGCCTCTAAACTTCAGAAAAATTGTTTTTCAGAAAGCCCAGGTATTCTGAATTTTAGAATATAACTTAACGCTGTGCATACATATACTGGTTTCTTTACATGGAAAGACAAATTAGACTTAAGTTGTTTGTTGGCCACGAAGTAACAAGTGCATTACTTGGATGACCATAATAGATATGGTTATTGAGCTATGCTGGCCTTCCTCATTCCTCTCTACATTAGGGAGATACTTCTTAAGATAGTATATTGAGTCTGGCCTGTGTGGCTCAGCGGTTGAGTGTTGACCCATGCACCAAGAGGTCGCCGGTTTGATTCCTGGTCAGGGCACATGCCCAGATTGTGGGCCACATTCCCAGTGGGGGGCATGCAGGAGTCGGCCAATCAGTGTTCTCTCTCATCGAAGTTTCTATCTCTCTCTCCCTCTCACTTAATGAATAAAGGGGAAAAGAAATCAAAAGAAAAAAGATAGTATATTGGGTAGATCATGGGACTAGATGTCTGAACTCTTTTATGGACTGTTTGACTCATGTGAAGATATATCCTCATGAATTGCTTTCCCTTTTCTTTCCAAACTTATATACAGTTATTTCAGAAAATTTTGTTTCTCTTACTACCCTTTTAAATGTCTTTATACCATTTATAATCAAAACCCGGCTTTATTTAGGCCTAAATAAAATCTGTATCCCACAAGTTCTGAAGTGATATTACTTAAGGTAAAAAACCAGAACCAAAATCTCTTAAATATCAATTCTTAGAAGTGTGTACAAATTGTACCATTTATAATCAAAGATATTTCTAAGAAAAACTAATACTAGTGGTTTTTATAGCAACCTTTTAAGTTGTGCATTTCTTTTTTTCAGGCTTCATTCAGCCTCTTTTTAGACACTTAATAGGAAAAAAATGCAGTTAGATCATCTTTGATCATAACATAATTATAAAATGTAAATGCTTACTATATTCACTGTCTTTCTTCAGGTTCCAGCAACACGTTATATATATACACCCCTGAATGAACTCAAGGGTGGCATGATTGTCAATGTCTATGGTGTTGTGAAGTTCTTTAAGCCTCCATATCTAAGCAAAGGAACTGGTAGGTATTAAAATTGGTCAAGATTTTAATAGACTGGAACTGTTTAATTGGTTTCAGGAACACAGCATCTTTAGTACCCTTAGAAGCTCAATTCTGATTTACAGTTGCCAACCAACATTCATGTGCGTTTTTTTAAAATGTTTTTTTAGTTGATTTTTTAGAGAGAGAGAGAAACATCGATTTGGCTGCTCTGTGCACGCCCCCTACTGGGAATCGAGCCCACAACCAGGTTATGTGCCCTGACCAGGAATTGAACTGGGACCTCTCAGTCCAGGGACTGAGGCTCAGTTCACTGAGCCACACCAGCCAGGCTCATCTGTATTTTTTGTGCTATTTTTATTTATCAAATAAGCATGGTCTTTAGATTCCAAAGAATAAATGAAGAAGATGCTAACCAGCAACAGGACAGCGTATGAAAGTATAAAAAAAGTCTACAAAACATAAACATAGACAAATACAAAATACTATTATACTATAGCAGTAACATGGAAATTACCTTAATTCTGGCCTACAATTTAAAAGACAAAAGTATAAAAAATAATTACCAGTAAACATAAGTTAATGGATACACAATATAAAAATATGTGAATTGTGGCATCAATAACGTAAAGTGTATATGTAGGGGGAGTAAAAGTGTAGAGTTTTTATATGTGGTAAAATTTTATTTATTTTATTTTTATTTTTTAATGCTCCTCACCCAAGGATTTTTTTTTTCCATTGATTTTTAGAGCATGGAAGGGAGGGGAGGAGGTTGGGTTTCGGAAGGGGAAAGAGAGAGGGAGAGAAAGGGAAAGAGAAACATTGATGTGAGATACACCAATCAGTTTCCTCCCACATGCACCTGGACCAGGACTAGTGATTGAACCTGCAACCCAGGTACCTGTTCTTGGAAAGGAATCAAAACCACTACCCTTTGGTGCATGGGCCAACACTTTAACCACTGACCACACCAGCCAGCACGGAAGTTTATTTTTTATCAGCTTAAGCAGATAACTGTAGGAGGTTTTGTGTAAACTCCTTGGTAACCACAAAACAAATACCTATAGATCAGTGGTTCTCAACCTTCCTAATGTTGCGACCCTTTAATACAGTTTTTCATGTTGTGGTGACCCCCAAACATAAAATTATTTTCATTGCTACTTCATAACTGTAATTTTGCTACTGTTATGAATCGCCATTGGAAATATGTGTTTTCCGATGGTCTTAGGCGACCCCTGTGAAAGGGTCGTTCGACCCCCAAAGGGGTTGTGACCCACAGGTTGAGAACCGCTGCTATAGATGATACACAAAAGAAAATGACAGCCCTGGCCGGTTTGGCTCAGTGGTTGGAGCGTCGGCCTGCGGTACAGAGAGACCCGGGTTCGGTTCCCGCTAAGGGCACGTACCTCGGTTGCAGTTTGTCCCCGGCCCTGGTTGGTCGTGCGGGTGGCAGCCACTCGATGTGTCCCTTCACATCGATGTTTCTCTCTCTCTCTCTCTCTTCCTCTCTCTCCCTCCCGCTCTATCTGATCAAAAAATGGAAAAATGTCCTCGGGTGAGGATAAAAAAAAATAAAAGAAAATAAAAAGAAAATGACAAAGGAATCAGGTGAAACAAGGAAGATTGTAAGATAGGAAACAAGGGCAGAAGAGCTATAAGACAGACAGAAATTAATAGGCAGTAGTAAGTCCTCTATCAATAATTACTTTACATATAAAAGGATTAACTGACCCAGTCAAAAGACACAGTACTTAAGCTGTTTGTTTTTTTTTTAATCCTCACCCAAGGACATTTTTGCATTCATCTTCAGATAGTGAGAGAGAGAGAGAGGGAGGAAGAGAGAGAAACATCGATGTGAGAGAGACACATCGACTGTCTGCCACCCTCACAACCCCAATCGGGGCAGGGGACAAACTGCAACCGAGGTACATGTCCTTAGTGAGAACCGAACCTGGGTCTCTCTGGACTGCGGGTCTACACTCTAACCACTGAGCCAAACCGGCCAAGGCAAGCTAGTTTTAAGGGCATAACCTATTCTATATAATAATGTGGACTTTTTAACTAACATAAAGGAATGAATAAAAAACCATGAATTTTAGTTTTCTGAGAGTTAATATAGTTAATAGGCAACACACTTTCACCTTGGTTTAATTCGGTTCAACTAAATATAACATTATTTAGTGTGATCTATAGCATTGTTTGTAAAGCATTATTTTATATCATTAAGAAGAGAACAATACTGCCAATTAAGCTACACTTTACTGTTAAACACAGATGTAACCAAATTTTAGAGATGTTAGAAGTGTGAAACAGTGGCGGTGCTGATGAAATACCTTAGTATCTGCCAGGAGCGGTGGCTCATGCTGGGAACACAAAGGTGTTCTCCTTCAATTCATATTTTTAAAAGATTTTGTATATTAAATTATACATATGCAAATTTTATTATTGTAGAATGAGCTTGAAGTATATTCTTTAGTGGGGTGACTGGGGGAAAAATCTTATTTTTATCTGATCAGACTGTTTTGTTAATGTGTAATATAAAGACTTGGTGTATGTGAAAATGGCCCTGTGAAGCCTATTAGTATAGAGAAGAGAAGTTTGAAATAGGTATTAACTAAGTCTGAAGACCACAAAGGTGCTTTATTGAAAACCCTGATGATTTCTGTTTTAGCAGAGAGAGAAACATTGAACATTAAGGTCAAAGCCGATAAATTTTTGTTTAAATATGTATTTCTCATATATTTTCATTTGGCTTTACTTTTTCTAAGTCTGCATTCTCCTCCACATCATAACATTCAACATACTTTTTAAAATATATGTATATCTTTTTATCCTCACTAGAGGATTTTTTTTATTGATTTCTAGAATAGGGAGAGGGGAGGGGGCAGAGAGAGAGAGAGAAACATTGATAAGAGAGAGACACTCAATTGGTTGCCTCCTACATGCCCCCTGACTGGGGCAGGAGTTGAACCTGCAACCCAGGTACATGCCTTTGACTGGGAGTGGAATCCATGATACTTCAGTGAGAGGGCTGCTCTTCTGACCACTGAGCCACACTGACCAGGGCTCAACATAGTTTTACCTATTATCACCTTAGTGCTTTCTTCTCACCTTCAGATATTTTTCATCCTGAATCTTACATGTGCCATTCTGGGAATTCACTCTAAAGGTGTGATCACCAGGATCCTCTTCCATTTGCTAGTGTTATCTGGCTGGTTTTATCAGCCTGCTAAATTTAGAAATAACCACATTGCTGGTAATAATATCCATCTAACTTGGTAAAAGATATAATTATTTTTTTAATCCTCACCTGAGGATACTTTTCCATTTATCTTCAGATACAGTGTGAGGGGGAGAGACAGACAGACAGACAGACATTGATGCAAGAGAGACACATTGACTGGTTGCCTCCCACACGACCCTGACCAAGGCCAGGGACTAAACCAAACTTGAGGCACATGCCCCTGACGAGAGTCAAACCCTCGACTCTTCAGTCCATGGACCAACACTCTAACTGCTGAGCCTAATTGGCCAGGGATAATTTTAAAGTTTTTTTAACCTTATATTTTGCTAATTTTTATCATTAAAAGTTTTTAGTAATTTAGCAAACATATTATTTTCCCAAAAAATGAAATGATAGTGATATAGAATAAAATTATAGCTAGCTGTTATTAAAACATTGATAACTCAATATTAATTTTGTTAGCATAACTTTCTTTGACAATGTTATTAAATTATGTATATATAATGAAAGCACTGGGAACTATACTATTTATTATATATTCATAATTATTCTGCTTGTTTATCAGATATGTTTAGTTGGATCCAGTCCCTTAAAAATAATCATGAGTAGTACTAAGCTATCTGTTGTGACAAAGGTGTTTCTCTATTTGTTCTTGATACTAAATTAAAATGTCATCAACTTTATCTGATTAAAGTCATTGAAACTCTAAAATATATCTTAAGATATAATGCAATGTCTTTACTACTAAGAAGATGGTAAAGTTTTAAAACTATCTTATAACTTTAGTTATATTTTTATTTCTGTTGATAGAACCCATCCTTCAGCATGTTTCAGGCGAGTCAGACAAAGAGCACTGGTTTTTGTGTTCAGGAAAGGATTAACTTCATTAGTATTAGCACTGGGAGGTACCAGAATAAATTGCAGGAACAGTCCACAGCTGTACCTGTTTTATGCCACATAAAGCAACATTATTTTGTAAATACAAATCTAAATATTATATATAGGTATACATAACTACTTACGCAGAGGAAAATTACCTTTCTGCCACTCCAATGTAGGTAGATGGAAAATAATTTATTCTGTTATATATTATTAGCTGGAAGATTTTATTAAAATTTATTTTATAAATGTTAAATTTAATATGGTAGAGACAAGTTAGCATCCTTTAAAAAAATGTTTTTATTGATTTTTTTTTTTCTTAGAGATTGAGGAAGGGAGAGGGAGAGAGAGATAGAAACATAGATGAGAGATAAACACCTATCATCTGCCTCCTGCACACCCCTGCTGGGGACTGAACCCACAACCAGGGCTCATGCCCTTACTGGGAGTCAAACCAGCCACCTGTCATTTCATGGGATGATGCTGAGCCTCACTGGCCAGGGCTGGCATCCTTACTTTTTGACATTTTTATTAAAGACTGTTCTCTCATCCTTAGTACTAATGATTACATATGACCTGTAGCATACTGCTATCTTATTTCTGGTAGCAAATGCTTTATTTCCCAAGCTTTATATTTAGTCTTGGAGGAGTTTTAGCTTTTATTTTTGCAGAAGTCTTATCAGTCCTCTTGTTAAAAGGACTAGAGATATTTTTATTCAATTGTGACAAAATTCATTATGAAAACAGACTTTCCCAAAGATATATAAACAGGATATATTAAAAGATCATTGTATCAAAATTGATTTTGATAATGAATCATCAGGGGTGTATTCTGTGGCTTCTTTCATATAAGACAAGGTCATTGCTGCTGTCATAAGATTTTGAGATGTTATAGTAA